AAACATTTGCACTTATGGACGATATAGGGCCCAATCAAAATATCTGAATAAGAAGAAAGCCTGATAACATAAAATAAAATGTAAAGATTGAATCGCAAAATTGGTTCCCGTAGAGTGCACGTGGCTCGAAATTGGAAAGTGTTTCGAGTTATAGGGACTCTCTTTAGACATTCAAGGGAAAAAACTTGCCAGAATTGTTAAGTTATGTGCTGGTTTAAGTGTACGCAAGACAAACTTGTTTGATTTAGCTTAAAAACTGTCAATTGTGTGTGTTCTTGGCAAAAGGATGAGGTTGTAAATAAATCGCTAAAATTAATATTGCAAATAGAAACTTGTCCTATAATATTAGTATAAGTCGGGATTCGATATCATTTGTCGGCACTCGTACCTCTATATCGGTGAAAGTAAAAAAGGTCTACTACTTATTATTATATATTGCTCGTTTAAACTACTTACACTCCCCTCCATAAGTTTGACAACCTTAGCTCCCCCATTGAACTACGTGTTAAAGCCTCTTTACCTTTGAATTTTTATTTACTTAACCTGCGATGAAAATACTTATACTATTGTTGGAAACGTTATATGACTTGACTTCCAATATCTCCAATTTTTTCAATTTTTTCCTCAATTACAATAGGTCGAAAATTGATTATAAATTTGATGAATTTTTGAAAATCGACATCCCCATGTTAACCAATGGGAAATGGTAGATTTGCCGCAAGTCATATGACAGAATATCCATCACTCCGAGTCCTTGCAAAAATACAAGATAGGTAGGCAATTGAATGAGCTAACTTTATTTAACAAAAAAGTGATACCTTTCTTCAGGACCAACAAAATAAGTCTTTAAAGTCAAAATTGTTTTTCAAAAAAACCTCCCATCGAAATAACACAGTAGCGGACAATTATTTAAAAGACTTAAGTATCAATCAAGTAATCTGAACACTTTAGTGTACAAAAAAGTAAGACAATTCAATTTTCTTTATGATTTTTAAAAAAAATTCAAATGTAAAGAGGCTTTAACACGTACATGTAGTTCAATGGGGGGAGGGGGGTAAGGTTGCCAAACTTATAGAGGGGAGTGTACTATATTCAAACAAGTTGTGCTATTGAAAACCTTTATAGCGAAGTTATTCAAAAATTATAAAGGTATAGCGTTAGTACGTTGACTATGAATATTTCTTGTCAGAATTGAGCCTGGTAGCTATTAATTATCGAGGGTTGCTGAATAGTCGATGCATTTTTTATAAATATATATTTTATCAATATCTATACAAATTATATGGCATTGATTAGATGGGCTGTCACGTTTGTAACGGTTGAGATCCAGGTAAGAATTTGTACGCGATCAACTCCATCCATTCTAAATACGTATTTTCAAGAAAATGAAAGTTATTTCTTGTGCAATTGAATGAATCTTATTTTGTCTGACTCTTGTTTGGGGGAGGGGAGGGATGTTAAATACTATTTCTCTTCACGTTAGATCATGATTTTGGGATAAATAGGGTCTATTTTCCGATGGCATGTTTACACTTAGAGTTTGCTTTTCTTGCTAGGTTTCATAAAGGCTTTTAGTCTTTTCCCTTTGGCGCTTGTGCTTAGATATTCACATGTACACAATGATACACACTTTCATTTTTTGTTAACGTCGAGTTCGCTGTCGTTGTTAGCGAATTTCTTTTTCAGAGAACAATGCATCGCAATTGCGAGACAAATGCGCCAGATCCAAGCCTCCTAGTCCAGTATGTATTCTGAACGAGGCAGGCAGATCTCCTGTATGATATTGTGGATGAGCAATGTGGAGTACGTATAGGTGGCACTGACGTCTCAGTAGTTGCGTACGCAGATGACCTATCACTTTTATCTCTTAGCATGCAAAGTATGAACAGACTATTAAGCATCGTGTGGAATTACAGTTCATACTGGCGAATCACTTTCCATCCAGGGAAATGCTCGCTTCTTATTTTCGGCAGACCCGACGACGGCAATGATACCGCTTTACTTGGCCCCTGTGTAATTCAACAAAAAACAGGAGAGCTGCACGACTTTGTAAAGCAAACGATATGCAAATCAAAACAGAAATATTTTTCGTTACTGGGGCTTGGCTCGTTAACAGGTGGCCTTTGCCCACTAATGGCCAGTAAGTTATATTGGACTTTCTCAATGAGTAAGCTACTGTACGGTTGCCAGGTAATAGACTATCACGAAATAGAGCAAATGGAAATATCACATCGTGAAATCGGAAGAAGAATTCAGGCACTCCCAAAAAGTTCGCCGAACCCTATAGCAGCTTCAGGTCTCGGATGGCTTTCTATCAGAAGACAGATAGATTTCTCGAGGATGATGTTCTTCTGGAGTATAATAGTGTTACCAATGAATAATATTTACAAAACCGTCTTGATACATAGATTGCTGTGGCTCATAGGGGGGAATGGACGGCATAACTCTCCACTTTCCATCATTTGGAGAACACTTGAACGGTACACTTTTGCCAATTTATCTATGAACATGATACAGTCTGGGGAATATCTCTCTAAATCAGGTTTTAAACGCATTGTAAGAAATGCTTTATACTGTAATGAAGCAAATAGCATTAGAATGATGTGTTCTTTGTATAGTTCCTTATCATTTTATTCTTGTACATTATCCATCTCATACGTGCAGCCAAATATATGGTGGCTCATATGTAAACTGAGACCTATTTTCAAAAAACAGTGCAAACTTATGTTTAAACTCCTAGCAGGGTCTTATCCTTTTGAGAATGGGGTTTGCCCATTGTGCATCAATTCAAGAGACACTATTGAACATTTTATACTACAATGTGATATAATTACCTATGAACGGCAGACTCTACTCACAATGTTGGAGAGTGAAGGCCGTATGTCACTTGCTGAGAAGATGGACTTTGTTTTAGGGTTGAGCTCAAGCTTAGAGAGCATCGACTCACTCTGCTCCATATCACTTGTAATATATTCCATGCATAGAGCCAGAGTATCAATGATCTAAATCATGTAGGACAGTTCACACTACATAATTGATTTGAAATCATGTTCTCTGTTACTATTTTACTTTCTTTATTTCATTTTCTATAATTATTGTATAACACGTACATGTAACTGTCTTATTCTAGACGCAAATAAATAATACATACATACATACATACACACGGTGAGCAACCATACCGCACCGGGGATTGACCCCGGTGCGTTGTCCCTTGACCCCGGACCGTTAGGTTTCAAATATGACGTACCATCCTTTTAAAATGTTTCCTTCGTAGGAGAAAATGATATTGTAAACAAGAGGTGCGTGAATATCTTATAATATGTTCCATGCTTAACACGTCATATCGGGGTACCTTTTAAAAATTCCACAAAGCTGTAACATATCGGTATTAGGTGGACGAAATTTAAATGTACATAATATAGATGTATTAGTGAACAAACTAGTCTTTGTTTAATTTCATTTTTTTCGATCAACTTTTTGAAATACCGAATGGTAAGTTTGAAATTTGTTTTCATCGATTTGTAATTGTCAAAAGAAAGTCCAATACTTTACGTTCATTTACCAGTTTAGGTATTTTAAAGTATTTACAGGACGATTATGGGGAAGACAAAATGTAGTTCTACATCCGACTCGATGGCTTGGTTACCGGCACAAGCCATTGAATCTTCACTGGGATTACGCATCGTCGGTTCCAACGCTCAATCACTACGTTATATCCATTGGGTTCATATGACAAACTTAAGACCCAAGTAATATGTGGCTTCTCATTAGTAAAAATGCTTCGCAGAGTGCGCGGGATAGTCCGTGCGCCAATCACAGTTGAGGAAATTATTTAAATTAGGCCCCTGAATCAGTATTTAGAAAGTAAAATGGAGGAACTGTTTGAAAAAATTGCGGCAAATTTCGTCTTAATTTTTTAAAACCTTATCAAAAAGAAGCGATAGAGGCGATAACGAAAGGCAGGGATGTATTCATGTCCCAGAAAACTGGACAGGGAAAGAGTTTGGTGTATGAAAGTTCGATTCAAGTCAGATATTTCACGGGCAAAATTTCAAATCAGATTATCATCATCGTGGAGCCCTTCCTATGGATAATGATATTCAAGACAGCGCATCAGCTGGGGTTTGTTTATTTAGTGTATAACCAATAATTTGCGGTAAATCAAGGTGAGGATAGGTCCGAAGCTTGATGAAGCAAGATGGGCATTACGTTCATGTTCAAGCCGGTGCCTTTCTAAACTGTCGTCTATTTGGGTCGGTGCGTTACTCCAGCAATTGGGAAGGTACATTTCAGAAGAATAAATTATATTACACAATGCTTTGAAACAAGTAGTTTCACTAATACATCTATGTTACGTTAAAAAACTTTGTTTTTCCAATTATCTCTTTGACAAGAAATCCTACATTTTCAGCGATCTTCAATTTTCTTTCGAATTTTCAAGGTACATTTCGTTTTATAATTCGTCCACCTAATTCAGATTTGTTACAGCTTTGTGGAATTTTTAAAATGTACCCCGATATAACGTGTTTATAATGGAACGTATTATTAGAGATTCGCCCGCCTCTTGTTTACCATATTATTTTTTCCCACGGGTGAAACATATCTCTGTCCGCCATTTTAAAATGATGGTGCGTTACCTTTAAAATCTAACGGTCCGTTGTCAAGGGACAACAAAACGGGGTCGATCCCCGGTGCGGTATGGCTGCTCACCGTGATGTTGTATTGGATGCCATGTATGTTTTTCAGAATAGTTATAAATATCTGAATCTGAAAAAGTTATTTGTTGTTTATCAATGCCAACCCTTCCCATGTTCAAGTTGCCATTCATGCTTAATTTCACTTTTAGATATTGTAAATGAGCATAAATATAAGAAACTTTAAGTCCACACAGTGCCCACTCTCCGCATGTTAAATCTTGTGGATAGCTTCTTATATAGTAGTATAAGAACGTCCAGCATCAGTTCCAGAAACTCTCCAACTTTACAGATGGAGAGTTTCTGGAACTGATATTGGACATTGTAATTCTGCTATATAGAAACAGATATGCAAAATTAAGCTTGAATATTGGCAAAACATGGCAAGAGTTGGTATTGATAAACCACAAATAAACATTTTTTTAGATTCGGGTATTTATTTGCTTTAAAATGTTGTAAAATAGTACAAATAATATACGAAACTTAAGTCACTGCAGTGCCCACTCTCCGTATGTTAAATCTTGTGGATAGCTTCTTATATAGTAGTATAGCAACGTCCAGCATCAGTTCCAGAAGCTCTCCAATTGTACATAAGGAGAGCCCGATAAACATTCCCATTGTACCGCCAATGTTGCTCAGTATGCCACTCACCTGGAACAGAAAAGCAGAGATTTGACATGATATCCCCGGGTTTTATGTTTATAGATGTATTTCGTTGAGTGTAACATCATCCGGGAATTTGGAATAAAGATGTCTGAAATTCAATTTGCTGCCACCTGAGACTAACATAAAAGAGTATATTAGTCTCAGCTGCCATATTTGTAAATAACTTGAAATCAAAATTGTAAAAAATATTTTTAAATAAGAAGTAAATTAATGGTATTTCTGCAATGAAACTATTTGAATAAAACAACCGATGTGTCATTATTCGTTGGATAGATCAAGTGTATACACAACGACATAGGTGCCCGGGCATAGGCGCATGAATCTTTCTCTCCACGTGGCAATACTTGCCGAATGGAGGCGCATTTTAGTAGGCCTATTATTGTATTTTTAAAGGAATAGTTGGACGTCTTTCTAAGGTATCATCTGGACAGAGTTTTGTCAATAAATTGCAATAAAACAAACATTCTTCTTGCAATAGATAAATAAACAACTTGCGAAATGCAAGAATACGCCATTTTATAAGTTGCACTCTTTCTGAATTGACTTCTAGTTAAAATGCTATGACAAGTAGGTTTTGCCAAAATCGTTACCGTATACACTGGCACTTCGATCACTGTTTCCTCGTTGAAATCTTCAAAGTAAACATGAACTCTTACTGTGGTGTTTCTAAAATAAAGTAAATTGAAATTATATTTCAGATCGATCCCCCTCAATCTCCAAACACGCATGGCTTCAGACAAGTTCCATTCTGTTCCTTTCCCCTGTCTGGACTCCTGCGCTTGGAGGATGGAAATCTTCTGGAGTTTGAGCCATTTGTATCTTTAGGCTACTATTAGAACATGCTAGTTTTCTAAATCACGTTCCTCAATTCTTTTTTGATCGTTATCTTTTAAAATCCCAATCTAGATTTGAGCTTTTATATATAAACTAAAATACAGATTTGCCCAAATAAAGCTGTAAGTAACGCCCAAAAAATATGTACTTTTTTTTACTCTTACCGACTTACTTGATATCATGCAGCGATATATTATTTATTTTATTAAGTCGTTCCCTTATAAAGTGATCATGATGTTTGCTTGGCCAAGCTGAGACAGACGTCGAGACTTCATACGTACTTTCCCTGCAATAATGTAAAAATTGGAGTTTATCAGAAAATCCCACATTGAAAAACTTGAAAACCTGTGAAGTAATTTTAAAAACATGAATGACCACCAAAAGACAATTTTTCTATTGACGAGTGAGGGGATCATATTAAAAGAATCTGCTGACATGATAAAGTATCTAATGATTGGTAAAGACAGGATTCTTATATCAAAGTAACATTTTATATGTCATTTGAAGAATGTAATCCTATTTTCTTTACTTTATTGCTATATTTACTAAAAGGGCATATAGATCAGTACTAATAAAATCCTGTTACATAATAGAAAGAGATTTCGCAACTCACTTATAGCATGTTTATTATTCCCATAGAACGTATAATGAAGCGCTTGATTACGTCATCACTTATTGCGCAGCTCTATACGTGAATCTTACGTACATACGACGATTTTTAAGAATATCATAATTATGGATTTATAGAGCTGCGCAATAAATGACGACGTAATCAAACGCTTCATAAGTTATACGTTATGCGGGAATGATAAACATGCTATAAGTGAGTTGCGAAATGTCTCTTATAAATGAAGCTTCCATTAATATTAATTAGTGCCGTTTTCAACCCGTTTCTGTATGGAGCTGCTTCTTGCGAAAATGTGGGTGGTCCATAAAAGTGAATCCTTGCAACTAGCTACGTGACCTCAATTTTTGCACGCTGAGGCCCAGGAATATGTTAAAAAAAGTGAGTACTATAAAGGTCAATCAGTCTTTAATCTTGCAGAAGTGGAGCGTGGATTGAGCGCATCATCCATTAATCAGTATGTCTGTTGATGCAATGCTATTTCAAATTTCGGACTGGATTACATTGGTGGCAACAAAAACTTCAGACCTTCCTCTAAATGACTTCCTCTTGTAATGACTTCAGTATGAATGAAATGTCCCTATGTGTTATGGTCTCGGATTGTGATATTTGTATTTGATTTCTTTCACTTTGGATTATGATTTGTGATCGTTGGGGTTTGTTTTCCTTATAACTGCTTTACTCTTAAATGTACAAGGGTTGCGTTTCCCGACGTTGAACGAAATGCGAATCGTTATTTCCCGGGTATTGATTTTGCCCTTTGTTTATCAGTCCCGGGTTATCAATCCATATGCTATACCTGCATTTTGCTGGACATCGGCAGCCAAGTCTCCCTGTGTTATAAGCATGGTAAACTTTCTGGCGACAGAACTCTACAAGTATAAATGAACGCTAGTTATATCTTTGGGGAAAAATACAAAGAAAATGCCTACACCAATACCTCTAGAAACATCACAGAGTTGAAACGAGCTCGAGAGATTAAAAGGAAGATGAGAGCTATTACACAAGATATCCTTGAGCGTGCAGTCAAAACAACGCCACCCGATGTTTGCATCCAGAGACGAGACCGGTAAAATGAGTACATGTACATGTGTGTTTCGTAAAATGATCATAAAATCGTAACCACTTAGAGCAGACCAACGACACTCAGCAAGATGAAAAAAACATTTAACAAGATTAACTTAATGCAAAATATGATTTAAAATCCATGTTGAGTTAAAAATTAAATATTTGTGCGAGTTACATTTTTGTCTCACTCTGTATTTTGACTCCCAGGCATTACTGCTCTTCTAGCACTTGGTTTCAACCTTTTAACCATAAACATTTTATCGAGCAAATCAGTCCTAAGAAGGGAACAAATCCCTTTAATTTCAAACGTTCACGTCAAGTTATCTAAAAAACTGTTTGCTACTGTAACAATACCTCCGTGATACGAGCAGCACGACTCTATAACAGTTTAAAATCGAGGTTTTCATATTACATCTCACCTTCAGTTCTATTAAAGTAGTTGCACCTATGTTCACCTTCATCAACTATTCTATCAAAGCATCCACATATTTCAAACAACCGTTGCTGCAGACACTCCATCATACAACCCTGGAAAATAATAGATTTAAAGGAGAAACAAAGAGTCGAGACGAATATGCTGCAGACACTCCATCATACAACCCTGGAAAATAATAGATTTAAAGGAGAAACAAAGAGTCGAGACGAATATGTTGCAGACACTCCATCATACAACCCTGGAAAATAAAAGATTTAAAGGAGAAACAAAGAGTCGAGGCGAATATGCTGCAGACACTCCATCATACAACCCTGGAAAATAAAAGATTTAAAGGAGAAACAAAGAGTCGAGGCGAATATGCTGCAGACACTCCATCATACAACCCTGGAAAATGATAGATTTAAAGGAGCAACAAAAACAAGAGACGAGAGTGCTTTAATTGTATTCTTTAAAAGACTATAAATGCACCCAACAAATATTATTTCATGTTTATTATTTGTTAAAATCTTTATTGATTTTCTGACATGGTATATATGTTATTTAGAAATATGACAAAACATTTTAATAATCAATGTTTAGTGAAATAAACGACGTACAAGCACGGTATACTCCCCTCGGTTTCTGTTTTTACTTGGGCGCATCCATCCATCCATACAATTCGAGGGGTATGGATTAGGTTGACGTTCGTATTTCTTCTGCAAACATATGAAAATCAGAAGATGATTATTTTGGAAAAGGGAGAGTTTCGTTAGTAACGCACAAGTATTTGATTTATTTTTATTTTCCCCAAAAATTTATCGGGCCAAACAGGCAGTTGTAATTGGCGCCTTTCGCTTAATCAAACTAAGTTGTAACATGATAAACCATCTTAAAGGAATATTCCTTGCCAGACCCTTTCTCTCTTGATATGGTAGCTATAATCATATATATAGTTTCCATATTTAGCAAAACATGGGAAAATGTTTTAATATGGTCAATATTGATCATTTAAAAATCTAGTGCTTATTTCCAGTGAGCTGCCATCTTTTAAGATTTCTTGCAGGAAGTGATGTCATCAACTCTCAACTTCTATAACCTTGCCCATAACAGTATAGGAAAGTAGCACAAAATCACTTCTAGACAAGTGATCATTACTTTCTGTGCAAAAATATTTTCAGGGCTTGTCAACTTAGAATAAAAGAAGAGATTTTCAGAAGGATTAAATAAGATACAAAGTTGAAAAGGAATATTTAGCTTGTTTTGTAATTCTTAATAGCTCCTCACCTAATGCTATATGCAAAGTTGAGAGTCGATGACATCACTTCCTGTGTGAAATTTTAAAAGATGGCAGCTTACTGGAATTGAGCATCACATTTCTAAGTGATCAAATTTGACCAAATCAAAACATTTTTGCGTGTTTTGCTAAACATGGCAAGCATATATATGGTTATAGCTACCATATGAGGAGAGAGATGGTTTGGCAAGGAATATTCCTTTAAATGATTCCGTTATTGACAGACAATATTTATTCAGTACATTACATAATATCGATCACACATAGCTAGGCAAGGTGTGTCCAATTCCACCTAAATAACAGGCTATTGCATATAAATGCATTGCATTATGTAACCAACAACCAACCCAAGGTCCTTTGTAAATTCTAATGAAACTAATAAAGCCGATAAGTAACTCCATATTTGAGTAAAAAGCTATAAATAGTACCATAGGAATAACAAACCAAAGGCTTATGCAGGTCAATTGGTAAGTGTTGAATGGTTGTCAAGGTGACAAGTTGATCCTAGCAAAAAGTGTCATTAAAATATTTTCTTTTTAAGTAATTTCGTATTTTTTAAGTGATATTGTATCATAGTAGATTGCAATTGGCGAAACCAATTTAAGCCTAAGACGCAATACATTCATTGTGGCTGATTCATTCCACTCGGGTAGTGTGTTCTAAAGTAAGCCCTCGAATTGTGTAAAGTTTGAAACAGCCTTAGAGGAATATGATAATCAGTCTACAATGCACTGCGTCCAGGGCTTAAATCCTTAATCCAACCTAGCTAGATCCAACCGTTGCAAAAATACAACTATTACAACATTTATTTTGCATACACCTTTTAGTAAATGAAGAATCAATTATTCATAGCGTTTTACATTGAAGCCTGCATGTACCTTGCGTAATCGAAAAACCATTTCGTTGCCAACAGATACAGTTAAGCCGTCGCTTTCTGGGTACGAAACGACGGAGTTATCATGCACTGACACCCTGACTCCGTATGTAGGTGAGAGAAGCCCAGTGTACTCGTCTGGTTCAACGTTGAGCGTCAGTCTAAGACCTGAAATACGTATACAGTGTCTAAGCTTTAATTATATAATGAAATCTGATTGTTCATCGTGACTTGAGATTTCTCATATTTTCAAACGCGTAATTGTATCATTGAAAAAAACTAAAACAGAGTAAAATATAGTGTGATGTCATTTGTTCATAATTCGTAAATAAAAGCACTCTTTATTTTTCGCATAATCTATTTTTATATGCTTCCAATAATTATACGACTTATGATTTAGGCGTACCATAGCGTGATCCAAAATTAGTTGTTACAAGGGGTCTTTCTCCTTCCGGTTTGTTAATCGCACTGTTCCATGTGTAGCACTTGCCATAATACTTGTTGTAAGTCTCTAGCCAATGGCCACTGGTCCTGTAAAGAAATAAACATAAACAAATCAAATCAATCGATCAGAGAAGCAAATCCAATCGGTTTTAAAACACTGGCCAATGTTCCAGGTGTAGCACTTGCCATAATACTTGTTGTAAGTCTCTACCCAATGGCCACTGGTCCTTTAAAGAAATAAACATAAACAAATCAAATCAATCGATCAGAGAAGCAAATTCAATCGGTTTTAAAAACACTGGCCAATATGAATAAAGTGACTTGATCAAAACAGTGTTCGCCATCGTGTTTAAATAAGTTACATGTAGACAGCCTTTTCCGAATGTTGATGTAATTTTCATCATTATAACTTACCAACAAATTAGGCCTACATGAATTTTTTTTATTCCATTTTGTTTCATTTCTTAATTCTATACTTTTTAGTTTTAATTGAATGGTTATCATTATGTGATTGAAATAATGATAAGTACCCAAAAGTGTTACTGAATTACGGAATTGATGAATCTATTTAATAACAATTAACAAAGTGCGTGTTACTGACAGATAACCCACAAGAGCACACTGACATGTGTAATGAATAAATAATGCATGTATTCATAAACCATTTAGTTAAAATAATAGAGAGGTTTAGCTACACTTTTTTAAAAGATTTTGTACGTGAATTAAGTGTGTAAAATTGTGGTCCTCTATGAATAAATTCTCTGTAGTATTTTCACCAGGAAAAGTGTGTCCAAAGATTTATGTTTACCTATCGAGTATGTTGGGAATATTGGAACTATATGTTATTGTATATCAAGCATTCCAACTAAATCAGACAAATTACTACAACGGACATCCTCCTAAGCAGGTGTCCAGAATCCGTACCTCTTTCTTCCCCCCTACTATAATCAATTTGGAAGCGTCCGATAAAACTGAATCACGTGATCTAAGTATGCGCCGATGACGTAAACATGATTGCTGTCGCAATGTTGCGATAGCGAATCAAATTGCGACTTTTTAATCGGGGAAATGCTAACTGCTTATCGCAGGGGGTAAAAAGAAAGAAGTATTCTGGATTTTGAAGCCCTGTGATCGGAGGATGTACTACGGAGTACTGTAGTTGGTACTATGAATCATGGAGAATGTAAAACGTGTAGCTTAATCTCCCCAGTGAGCTATGGTATAGCTTTTCACATACCTTTTACAATTCTCCATATCGAAAGTACAAAGCGCAGCCAAGTCTGATATTCTGTGACCATACATATCAAGTTGCTGAACAGTTGGAGTCGCTAGCCCAAATATATCACTCAGATCCTCGGCGGTCGAGGAATTGAGTATCTGTCCGAAGTTATTTCGGTTTTTAATCTTCAAGAATGGTGATTCCTTGAACGTAAAAGGTGCGGTATAGCCCGTGTCCATTCTAGGCCCGTATCTGTCGTACGTGTTTGGATCATGGCCTTGGCCTAGAGAGGAGTTATTACTCCAGCCGTTATTCCCAGTGTAAGAGGAGGTTGTATCAGATTCTACGAAGGTGTCATTAGAGACTGTTGTTGAACCAGGTGGGCTAGTCTGCGTGTGGGCGCTAGTTGCGGCAACTGGGATTGTACAAGTGCAAATGGGGACAGATGTTACTGTAGTTGTTTGGTCAGAATTGGTAGCTATTTGGCCAGGGGTTGCTGTTTGATCAAAAATAGTTGTTGTTTGGTCCAATTTGGTTGGTATTTGGCCAGATATAGTTGTTGTTTGATCAGATATAGTTGTTACTGGGTCCGATTTGGTTGGTGTTTGGCCAGATATTGTTGTTGTTTGATCAGATATAGTTGTTACTGGGTCCGATTTGGTTGGTGTTTGGCCAGATATTGTTGTTGTTTGATCAGATATAGTTGTTACTGGGTCCGATTTGGTTGGTATTTGGCCAGATATTGTTGTTGTTTGATCAGATATAGTTGTTACTGGGTCCGATTTGGTTGGTATTTGGCCAGATATTGTTGTTGTTGTTTGATCAAACATTGTTGTTGGATCAGTTGCAGTTGCCCCAGGGGCAGATGGCTTTGTATCAAGAGTTCGTTTTATCCTTATTTTGTCGTTTGCTACATCATCAGCAGTGTCATGTTGACGGAGTAAACCATCATCACGTGATGGAGATTCGTCGTTCACTGCATTATAAGCCTCAATGGGTCTGTTATCAAATGTTTCATAATTATTTTCGCCAATACCTTCTCCTTGTAGTCCATTTTCATTATAAGGACCCGGATCGTCAGGTTTAACGTCGCGCAAGGTGTTTACGGAATGGCTTACACCATTTTCTTTTGAACCGATACCGACTTGGGGTCTGTATCCACGTAGAATTTGTCTAATGTTAACCCTGCCTGCTTTAACGTCTGTATTAGAATTCAAAGGGGGTCGCGATCGTTCCCATGTTTCCTCCACCTTCCCATCTCTTTTATTCCTTGGCTTTGGCGTTGCCTTCTTGTGTACTGTTGTTGATCGCGTGTTTCCATTAGCTTTTAACAAAAAGTAGTACACTTATCAAAGGAGTTTTTGTGTCATAAAGGGAGATCGGCGTGATAAAGATTTTAGGCAGTTTTCTTGTGTGTTTTTTTGTTTTCTTTATTCTCTATTCAAACATTACAAGTACAATAATTAGAACAATTCAGATATTTTTTCTTGTTGATTATTCCCCATAATTGATGAAATGGGAAAGGGATGTTAGTGCATAACGCAATGAACTGATAGACAATTAGCAGGATGTGTACCCTGTGTGCAGAGTCTAGTTAAACTACAAACGACGAAGCTCTCTTTTAAGAAGTGAAGTCAAACAAATGCAAAGCCGGGTACAGGATGTGTTGCATGGGACTTTAATAAGCTCCAAACGCATGTTAAACCATGGTGTTTCGAGTTTATTTTGAATATTGTTTTATCATATATATCTTGGATAGTGTTCTTCAATGTTGCAATATGAACAGACCTCGACAGACGATTTGGAATCGGACTTCCTATTGCTCAACTTTTTGAGGAGGGTTGACAGGTGCACGTGCACTCAAAATACATTCAACACGACCTGGGCAACACGAGGGAAAATAAAGGTCTTACCAAAGTTCTTTCTGTCAAGATCTACCAGGCTGTCAAACGTGGTGCCTTCTATTTTACTTTTACGCAGCATGTTTACGTTGCATATTGTCACGGCAGGGACGTCCATGAATGTCCTGAAACATTTAAGCATTGTTTTTTTACCTATTTATATTTTATAATTCAAGGTATAAGCGTTAGATGAGATCAAAAAGCTGTTAATTTGCTCCCACATTTAATAACCCACCCCTGACAGATCTCTGAAAGGCGTATATAGATCTAATATCAATTATAGAAAATTACCGTAATCTAATTTCACTTTTGATAAGTATAGGCCATTTGTTGTAGTCCTTGATAAGTTCTATAACTTGGAAAATGAAATAGCCAAAACAGCCGGCAAAGATCCCTAGCCAGATCAACCTCCGAAACACACGCACGCTATTTCTCAAAGATCGTGGCAGGCCGTGGAGAGTTGAATTGTCTGCGAAATCAATTATGAGCTGTTTAAAGGTTGGATGGTCTTTGTCGTGTTGTGTATCAACTTCTTCTGGACTCGTTTTATTTGCCATATTGTTGTACGTTGTGTCACGCTTCGTGGTCACCATATGCCATCAGGTGACGTTCGCTACAAAGCGCTTTCAATTATTTTTTCTCCACCTCATCCCACAGGTTGAAAGTGTCTCGTTGATTAAGATGATTTCCGAAAATATCCGCAATTTACGTCGACAGGTGATGTTGAGGAATTACAAGCGGTAAAACATTGCATACTACACATGCACGTACGGTTTGTTGGTTCTGACGGCATTCTAATGGGATTCTGATGGGATTCTAATCATAAAATCCTTCCACTATGTGTGTATGTTGTTCGTACATCCCCTTCCATCAGTAAGACAATCGGTAGTCCCCTAACCGAAGCATGTTTATGTTTGGCGACTAAAAAGTTTGTCATCAATTTCCGAACTATTGTAATTAATGGACAAAATGAAGATTTAAATATTGAAAGACATTGATATGCTATCAACTGGTAACTTCCCAATGCAAAACTTTTGGAGGGGGTCGGGAGTGTACGTAAATTGACACTGGAGAGGTTAAGCTTTGCATATATAATCGAAACTGAACCTGTACGTATCACTCGACCATATACAAATTCATGTAGCCTTCTCATATAAATAGCCGTTCAAATCCAGTGTTTGTTTAGACTACACCATAGCGTGTAATGATTCTATAGTATGTCATTGATGCGGTTTTATAGCTGGTTTTCTAATACATATTTTAAACGAGCTCGTTTCGTAAGATTTTTGGCGCTAAATCATGCATGACATACATCATCGTGTTCAGCAAGAATTCAACTGTGCATCGAAATCAAAATTGACAGCATAGTGTTCAATAGACACGAGTAAAATGGTTCCCGTTGACCCAACGTCAAATATTCAAATCTCCCGTTCTAAACCCGAAACTCTGAAGCTGAAAGAGTATCTGAAGTAGACTAAGCGCGCATAAAACTATGAGCGCTCGATACATTCCTTTGTTAATTTTTGTACTTTGCGTTCACGGTTACGTTGTGAAAAACATCGTTAGCTTAACCTCTCCATTTTGTATTCCGAACGTCAGGGCTTCCCAATAAAAAATCAAATGCCTCTTTCCTTTGTGCATGCCTCTTCACCCATGGCCACTTTCCGTACATAAATTAATTAAAATAATTACTCCTGTACAGTTGCGACTCGAGAGTCAACAATGTGTGTCTGTGCAGTTTTCAGAGTGTCGGTGACACGCATGAACGACGCACGTGCCTGTGCAATGTATCAAATCAATGCACCGTATCTATGAAACGTTACAGGCGCGTAACTAAGCATCTAGCTCAGTCGTGAAAATTTGGGAAAGCAACATCTTCAAGGAATGGTCATGCACTCTACATTGCACCGAGTCAAGGACTTTAATCCTTATATAGTTGTAATGTCTGATGGAAGCACAATTAAAGTAATTTGATGGTTTGGCTCTGAAAGATGTTTAAGTACTGGAGTTGTCTATCTATTTACCAACTTTGAGGCCTCAACTAATTCACGTAACGTGATCAATCTGATGATTGTTCGCGGGTATTACTTTTCTACTGGCTAGTGAATAAAGTCTAAATGAAATTGAAATTTCTTTATTTTTATTAGCTCACATGGTGAGCTTTTGCAATCACTCACTTGTCCGTCTGTCTGTCCGTGCGTGCGTGCGTGCGTGCGTGCGTGCGTGCGTGCGTGCGTGCGTGCGTGCGTCCGTCCGTCCGTCAACAATAGTGGCACGTTTTAAAACCTCTGTCGATAGGATTCCCGTTTTAAGTTACTAGTATTTTTGTTCAACATCAATACAAAAAACTCCCCTATGACTCCTGGTTCAAAAGCTCGCCTATTTTCAAAATGGTCGCCATTTTTGTCTCGCGAAATTCACTTTTGGCCCATTTCCTAGCTTTACAAATAATTTCAGGTGTCCTGCATTGTAAAAAGCCATGTCTTTGTAAAGAGTAGTTGTATGAAATAATTTTGTTACAAAAAATCGGCAAAAACTATATCCGTTTTTTTATTTGTTGTCATTTTAGCCATCATTCACTTTTGAGCAACACTATGTGAGCCCAGTACGCACGGTACTATTTTATTTTTAAACCACAACATATTTCTTGTTATCTTTCCACAACACTTAGTCATTTCTCCATAAATTGCAGTTGTATGTTGATTTGAAAAATCAAGAGATTGTGTTTTATCCGACAGTTGGTTGTTCTCAATATATCGGTGATATTGTGCCCTCTGCAATATGTTCTCAAGATATACACTGTATCTTAGGTTGCCCAGAGCACGGACACAGGATCTTGTAGCACGTTTATGATGACTGATATGGGGCTGCCTGATATGGGAGACTGATATGCTTTATATATACTATAGGGCCTATCATAGTGCTCATCTCATATCATAGTGCTACATGTCTCTGTGAGCACGGACAGTATTAATGAATTAGATTCTTTCTATGTCTCTGTTTCTATATTACATAACATAAATGTATGTCTTTTCTGTTCGGGGCTACGGGAATTTTTTGTAAAAACTGCTCTGAAAATGAGTGAACTTTGAACATTCATGACCCCCATTTGTTATTGAAAAGGAATCTCATAGATTGATCGGTCCCCAATAAAGACCGGAAACGGAAAAGGCCAGCCGGAAGTAAGTGCAAACAATTATTTAGGATTTTGCTTCAAATAACTCCTCTTTTTCAACTTTTTAGAATATCAGGGCGGGTTATCGTATCAAAGTTTATAACATAGGCACCTCATTTACACTTTGTGGTTATTGGGGTCTGTCATAAGGACTTACTCTCGTCGAGAGCTACTTAGATTTTGAAAGTATAGCTTATACTTTCAAAATCTAACATGATAGCTCTCGACGTTTAGTATGTATCCAACAGACCGAATATAATATTCGGTCTGTTATGATTGATATATTTCCTGTGGAAATCGCGGTGATATTTTTTGCACATAAATTTCTCGTTTATTACAAGAATGTTCACCTTGAAAATTGGTGAATATGTTGAAGAGATGTTCATCTTAAACTAGAAGCAAAAATATTTGTATAAGGCGGGTACAAGTTGATATAAAATAATGAAAGGATGTGTTCATAAGTAGATCGCGAAATCAATGTCAAGGACGTTTTGAGTTCACGAGATCCAAACGAGATATGCAAATTTTTGAACTTTGACAACACATGACCACTTGATTACCTCGGCCTTCTTCATGAATATCTCCGCTCTATTTACTATAAATGAAGAAAATTAATTGGGATAATGATAATAAATGACTAGATCTAATAAATTCCCGCACAAATACTTATACGCCAGTATATAAATTTATGACAACATTGGATAGGGGGTCAGAAAAAGTCTAAAATCAAATATATATATATTGTAGATCTATTTTTCAGAATGAATTAAGACTTATTTAGGTAGGCCAAGAGAATACTCTGAGAAAATACGAAAATAAAGCGAATACGAAACTAAAGCCTATACATGACGTCAACGGCGGGAATCATAATTTGGCGCACTTTTCAACATCTACAATAACAAGCAAGACGTAGCAAGCCATACTTCAAGCCATACAATCCATATTTCAAGTTAAGCCAAACATCATAGAGTTAGTACAATAAAAGCATAATAATGATAATTAAATAATCATAGAATATACTAAAAAGTCCATTAGATGTTGAAATAATGCATAGTCAAAACATAGATGTAGGCTAGATAGATGTAACAGACAACTATGAAAACAATAAGTTAGCATAGTCCTAGTACACATCCTCTGATCCTAATTTAGTAAAACAATCTTGTTTCTTTTCAAATTAGATTGTGATAGGAGTTATTAAGGTTCTAATTTCTTATGACAACTTTACAATTAGAGTCTGCTTTCTTGCTGACACTCTTTAAAGTGTTTAATAAGTGGTATGCACTTAGAGTTTGCTTTTCTTGCTAAGTTCCATTACAACCTTTGGTCCTTTCCCTTTGGCACTTGTGCTTATATATTTAGATTTTCTCTTTGATACATAGATAAATTTATTGATTAAAAAATCTCTTTCAGAGTATGGATAACGAAATGAAATTAGCTATAGTAGGTAGCAGTTTAGTTGGAAATGTTTTTAAGGCTAATCCCAAATGGAATTTTAAGTCTAAAACAAAACTAACATGGCACTTTAAGCCAGGAGGTCACATTGATGACTTAGATTATTCAACAGTGAATTTTAAGACCCTTAGACCCAACATTGTGTTCTTGCAAACTGCGGGTAATGATTGTTCTGACGCTGGAAAAAATTACTCCGAATCAATAAATTTTCACATTTCAACTATAACAGAGAACTATTTGAAGGCCATGTCTACAATTCAAAAGAAACTTTCTGAGAAAAATGTAATTTTAGTTGGGAAAATTCCAAATAGATCAAAACATTGGAAGCATTTAAAGCACAAAAATGATGTTGAACGTACCAATATAATCATTAATGGCGTCAACAAAGAACTTCATCAACAGCAAAATTTCCATGACTTTATATTTTGGCGATCAAGAGGATTGGAGGATGTAGTTACAAGTGGACTTTTGAAGAGCGATGGTACTCACTTAAATTATCAAGGCCTATCAAAGCATAAGAAAGCAATTAAATACGCATTTATCCATGCATTGGGTATATTAGATAGTTAAGTAAGTATCTAATTGTTTTTAATATTGAATACAAATAGTTCAAAGTATCTTAAAAGCAGTTGAGGAAACATTAAATAATGAATTTCTTTGACTTATTTGTTATTCAAATATATTAGCATAACTTTAGCATAGCTTTAGCATTATTAACAGTATTGATAATATAGCAACAGTATTTACAATACTATTTAACTTTAGTTGATAACTTAAATGTTAAAACTAAAGTAAAGAGTGTCACAGGCATGTAATTAAAGTACGATTTTTAATAATTCAATTAAATATTTTTTCTTTTTAACTAGATAATATAATTACTCATTTCTTTCACTTTTGAAGTACTTCAATTGCAAGAGACAACTATATAGCGTTGGAATAGAATAGTCTATTTTAACAAGGTTTGGCATGGGCCAGTGAAATTGATTTAAATAGGTCAATTTCACTACCATAGCTCGGGAGCAATCTCATTAGCAATAGTTGTTTCTTTATTAGGCCTGATGGCAGATAAAGATACTACAGGAGAGCATAGTTACTCAAAGCGAGCAACAGATGATCAAAGAAAGACAAAAGAGTCACCCCCCAGAATTGATACCACTCCTAAAACTACAGCAAATATAATACCTCAAGCTACTCCAACCTTTCAAATACAACCACAATGGGGACAGGTTTATCAGCCAATGCAAAATTGGCAAATGCCAAATTGGTATTCTCCTTATCAAAACTGGACAATGGGCCCACCTCAAATGACTAATTTCACTCCAACCATGTTTCCCAATTTGAGCTTCAATAATCCGATATCATCAACTTCACCTTCAGCGTCTCAAGGAGCTCCACCAATAAATACCACACAAACAGCTACTCAAAGCACAAGTACAGCAAGCACTAATATGACAAATCAACAACATTTGAATCCATCAAATAACTGGCCTAATATATCCAATGTTCCACAAGCAATTCCTAATATAGGACAGATTGGAGGTCAAAATTTTCCACCAAATATCATCCCACCACCACAAAACCCAGGTATGTTCTGCCTAAATGCAGTTCCAAATGCCGACATGATAGGTAGCATTATTAACTCTTCACTTCGAGATAAAATATGGTCCAATGAATTTGTAGAATTGCATAAGCTAATCCAAGATGATCTTGAAAATGAAAATGAAGGTTTTGATGTAACTATAAAACAAGGAAATCAAATCATCATTCCTACCAAAAAGGGGAAAAAGTTTCTGTCATATCCTGATTGGTCCAAGGCGATGTATACATATATAAGCATATACATCTTGAAATATCCTCCAACTGCTCCAGCATTGATGTCTTATATGGCAAACATTCTAGAAATGAAGAATAGAGGTATGAATTGGGGGCAATATGACAGATCATTCAGACAAGCTAGAGCTAATACCCTTGCACCTTGGAATGTGATTGATGGGGCAAAATGGTTGAAAGCAACACCTTATTACAAAGTTAATGTGGATAAATCAGACCAAGATAATTTAAAACGTTCAGATCGTTCTGATAACACAATAGAACCATTCATACCCAATGGGTTTTGTTGGAAGTTACATAAGGGGAAAAAATGTGAAAAGGGAGATTCATGTGTGGGCCATCATTATTGTCCAGCTTGTGGGGAAGGTGAGGTCCATAGAGCAATAAATTGCAATGAAGCCAAGGCTAATCCTTTTCGAGGAAAAGGAAAAGGAAAATTCCAATACAGTCGAAAGCGAAAAAAACTAACATTTCAAAACTTCCAACTCCTGTCAAATTGCAAACATTATTAGAATGGTTATCAGGTTATGATGAAAAATTAGTGGAAGAAATCAAGTTAGGTTTTTCTGAAGGATTTAAAATTCCCTTTCATGGATCAGAATTGAATAGGAACGATACTAATCAAAATATCAAGCATTTAGATACAGTGTTAAATAAAGTTCAAAAGGAAATTAATTTAGGGAGAGTAGAGGGACCTTTTAGAAAATGTCCAATTGATGGAATGGTAATATCTCCAATTTTTACAATACCTAAGAAAAACTCATCAGAACAACGAATGATTCATAATCTATCAGCACCAAAAGGTAAATCTGTAAATGAAGGTATAAATCATGAAGATGCAACAGTTCAATATGGTACTGTAGATGAAACGATTAAGAAAATAAAATCATTAGGAAAAAATGCATATCTTGCAAAAACAGACGTTAAGTCAGCTTTTAGAATTTTACCGATGCATCCTTCAAATTACTTCATGTTAGGTTTTAAAGTCAATGAGAATTACTATTATGATAAAACTTTACCTATGGGATTGTCAGTCTCTTGTAAATATTTTGAATTACTAAGCACAGCAATGCAATGGATAGGAGAAAATAAATTGAACATAACACACATGGTTCACATATTAGATGATTTTATAATAATTGAAAACACTGAAGAACAGTGTCAAAAGTCTCTTGAGAAATTCCTCAATATGTGTGAACAAATAGGAGTTCCTATGTCACCAGAGAAAACAGAAGGTCCCCTGCAAGTCATAACCTTTGCAGGTATAGAATTAGATACTGTACATATGGAAGCAAGATTGCCAAAAGAGAAATTAGACAAAGCTAAACACTTAATTGATGAAATGTATAATAAAAAGAAAATGACAAAACGTGAAATATTACAAATCATAGGTGTATTGAATTATTGTGCCATAATCATTCCATACGGTAGAACTTTTTTGAGAAGGCTAATATCTCTCTCCATGAAAACAAAAGAACTACATTGGCATGTATATATCAATGAATCTGCAAAATCTGATTTACAAATATGGAAAACATTTTTGAAAGATTTTAATGGAAAAAGTTTTTTTCTAGATAATGAATGGCAAATAAGAACAAATAAAACATTATACACAGATTCATCAACTACTGTAGGATATGGAATAATATTTGGCAATGAATGGATATGTGGAGTATGGCCAGATTCTTGGACCACATATCATATAACAATACTAGAAATATTTCCAATAGTTTTGGGAATATTACTTTGGAAACATGAGTTGTCAAATAAAGCTATTGTAGTTTATACAGATAATGAAGCTGTCAAACAAATCATAAATAAAGGCACATCTAAAGAACCCACAATTATGAAACTGTTCAGGCCATTAGTATTGTGTTGTTTAAAACATAATATTTTAATAAAAGCAGAACACATACCAGGGTTAAAGAATGTAGGTGCGGATGCTTTATCTCGAGGTAAATTACAGGTTTTCAGAGAAGCACATCCATCATCAGAAGTGAACCAAAAAATAGTTCCAAAACATCTTCTACCGAAGAATTGGAATCTATAAGATATAATCTGATAAGCAATGCACAAACAGAAAGTACACATGGTGTTTATAAAAGATCGTGGAAAAAGTTAGAACAATTTGGTCAAATTTATAACATAAAAATATTGCCTTTGTCTACGCAAAATCTCAGCTTATTTATTTCATATTTAGTGCAACAAAATTATGCAACATCAACAATTCAAACTATTATATCAGCAATAGCTTATTTTCACAAAATAAATAATTTCTCAGATCCAACCAACTCATATATTATTAAACAAATGTTATTAGGCATGCAAAAAACGAGACCAAGTGTAGACAAAAGACAACCAATTACTCAAAATTTATTACATCAAATGATTATGCATTTACCCATAGCATTACATTCTTCATATGATTGCATACTGATGAAGACCATGTACCTCTTTGCTTTTTATGGATTGCTACGTATAGGGGAAATAACAAATTCTCAACACAATCTACAGCTTAGTGATGTTCAAATAAATAGTAATAGTGAAATAACTATTAGATTTAGATCCAAATATTCCCATTTCTTTCCTCAATTACAATAGGTTGAAAATTGATGATAAATTTGATGAATTTTTGAAAAACAACATTCCCATGTTAACCCATGGGAAATGGTTTGTTATCTCAAGTCATATGACAGAATATCCATCTCTCCGATTTCTCGCAAGAAGTACAAGTTAGGTAGTCAATTGAATTTGCTAACTTCATTTAACAAAAAATTGATATATTTCATCAGATTCAGGTTCAACAAAGTTATAGGTCTTTAAAATCAGAATTATTTTTTAAAAAACTCCCATTGAAATAACACAGGAGGCGAAAAATGATTTTCAAAAATGTATTCATAAAGTAAACTAAACACTCAGTGAACAAAAAAGTTAGACAATTCAATTTTCTATATAAAAATATTTTTTGGTGAATCTTGTACTGAATAGATATCCAGATTTCTGATTTGCCCTGAACTCACCATTTCCCATTTGTTTACATGGGAATGACAACTTTCAAAAAATACTATCAATTTTGACCTATTGTAATTGAAAGAAAAAATTGGGAAATTTGAAGGTATTGGAAAATAAAGTCAAGTTACGTTTCCATTAATATTTCAAGTATTTAATAGCAGGTTAAGTAAATAAGAATTCAAATATAAAGAGGCTTCAACACATAGTTCAATGGGGGAGCTAAGGTGTCCAAACTTATGGAGGGGAGTGTACTTAAACATCATGGGTCAAAACCAAATGACATGCTTTGGCAAGAAGTGATACATTTATCATGGTGTCATTGCGTGTGTTTCATTTAGTCTGGGGGTAGAGTACTGACAAATATTTTTTCAAAATCATTCAATTACTGTACTGTACTTCTTACTGTGCTCAGTCCATCAATACAGGTATTGGAATATCTCCAGGTTACCAGTTAAACATTTGCATTTATTGCTGGTCATTGAGATGGGCTGACTGAAAGATGACATATCATTTATTATAGGTCATTGAGATGGGCTGACTGATAGTTGAAGTATAATTTATTATGCATTTATTATAGGTCACTGAGATTGGCTGACTGGTGGATGAAGTATAATTTATTGTAGGTCATTGACATGGGCTGACTGGTGGATGAAG